TCCCCGGCAGCTCCCGGCTCCTGCACCTGCCAGCACGGCCCTCCTCTCCACCTGCGGGGCTCTGCATCCACCCAGAACAAGCAATTACAAAACTAAGGGAATTACTGAAGTGGTAGTGCTTGAATGGTTATTTTCCATGCAGTAATCTAAATAAACCAAGAATACCCAGCTTTTTCCTACTCCGTGTAGTCAAAGTATGACTGGGCATCCTCACTGGGAAGTATTCATCTGGTATTCTGTTTAAGTATAAAGGATGTTTGTAGAGCGTGCCACTTATCTGAAAAAAGCAGACTGGTAGAAGAGTGTCCTTTATCTTGTTTCGGAAAGGACTAAACTCTAAAGGCAGCTCTTACTCCAGCCCAAGTCTTTGCCACAGAGAAACCTCTGTACTAAACCCTCTTCTGTGTCACTGGTAAAACATTCTGGTTACAGACAGACTGGACTGATTGTGTAGCACATCTGTCCTTTCTCCATCCCTCCCTCCCTGACAAACCCTTGGAGTCATGAATATCAAACTGAGAAAAATAAAAACCTATTTTTAATAAATCCTGGAAATCCTGCCTGAAGTGAATCAAGGCTGGGATATGCAGGTCAAACTGGTGGTCTGGAGTGGTTTCCTCTAAACCTCTGACTTCTCAGCAGTTCTCTCATTTTCAGCATGTCTATGTGATTGCATCACAAGTACTCTTGATGGGGTTTTTTTTCCCCATGTGGTCTGCTCCAAGAATTTTTCAGCAACTTTCGTTTCACTTCATCTTCACTTGCAAGCAACTCTCCTTTTATTACATCTTTCCCGTCAAAACTCAAGTTCCCAGTGAGTGCCATATAAAGAATAAGCAGTGAGACATATTATTCCATTGTTTTAAATGTACACAGTGACACTTCAGTGAATTTCATAAACACTTTTTAAATTTTCTCACACAAAGTATATGCAAGGTAAAACATATGGGGACAGATTTTTCAAAAGCCCATCTCTGAACAGAAGATACCTTAAAAAATCTGCCAATGTTCACAAATCACACAAACAGCACCCCAGCTCAGCAGCCACCTAAACCTGGAGAGACCATCTGCAGCTGCCTGAATCTTCTTATAGGAGTCAAAAGTGTGTCTGCTTTGAGGAATGCTCACAGGCATCAGAACATGGGCTACCCTGGTTTCCTTCCTGCCTCTCCCAGCATCTGGGCTCTCCTCAAAACTGCCTTCTCATACAGAAGAGCTGACATGAAATGCAGGTGTAGTTGTTACCTTCAAAGGTATCAAAGCATACAAATTTAAAAAAAAACCAGTTAAGCTTTTGGTAGTTCTGAACAAGTGGTCACACAGTGGTTTGATGTGTTTGATTAATTCAGCATTAATTTGAATACATTTTTTAGCAGCTGTCAGGTTTTTAGAAGCAAAAGATTCCTTGCTTCTAGGCTTGGGCTGGCGTGGCACACCTCACTGACTAATGTGTATAATTGCATCTGGAGAAAGTATCTCATCTCTTCTTCAAAGGATCTGTTCACACAAATACAGATTGTAACTGTTTTTCCATCCATCTAGCTGCTTTCCTTGTTCACGGTCCATATTGAAACACTTTCCATCCGCTGTGTTGTAAAAATCTAGTTTAGTGTTTCCAAGATAACAGGATGTGCTGGATGAAGGAGTACAAGAAGGTCTATGGAAAAGCTGAACAAGAATTGGATAGTAGAAATAAACAGCTTTAATCTTGTTATTCCTAAAAATGTGTTGAAGTCTGTATATTCAGAAGTAATTTGGAGCATAAAAGTAACTTGAAACATGGCAGTTTCTTGGCATCATACTGGAAGTAACCAGCCTGTACAAACTTGAAATTTGCTGCATATAGCCTGAAATGGTATGTTCTCATTACTCATATCAAACTGAATTTGGAGTATTCAGTATACTTCAAATATTGATACTATTGGTGATAAGGTTTTGCTTGCATGTTTTTTAAGTAGCTAGAGTAAACAAACTGTGTGTTAACCACACAAAATAGGCAGTCCACAGCCCAGTTGTGAGAAATAGTATTGTAAGACCAAATGACTGGAAAGAGTAGTAATAATGCAAGGCTGAAAAAATTATACAGGAGCAAACTTTAATATCTATGTGAACAAGTTTATGTTACTCTTTCATTTCACAAAGTTAGCCATGAGGTGTGCTAGTTATTTAAATTATCTGGTAATTTCATGAGTAGAAATATTCTAACTGGATCCTGGAACCAGTACAGCTTTAGGAAAACAGTGCTTGGCCCTTAGCAGGCTGTACTTTTTACTTTTTTAATATTAACTTCTTTAGCTCTCAGGAGTTCAACATGATTGCCAGTTTTTTTCTTAATGTAGTCATACTTGCATTTTCTGTTTGTAAAAAAAGAGATTCTTCTTAAGCAGAAGCTTAAGATTCTTCTTAAGGTTTTGAAGCTGCTAGAAAATCATGATGTCTGTGAAGTACAAAAGCATGCTTTTTCCCTTTTTTTCTTTTCTTTTTTTTTGTATTTGCCTGAACCACAGCATGTCAAGATGTAATTGCAGAGTTCTCATGAACTAGTTATTGCTACACTGGGTTGGTACTTGGGTGAACATCTCCCCTTCTCTTCAAAATGGAATTTCCATGGGAAAAGAAACTGATGATTCATTCCAGAGCCAGGGGTAGGGGTTTTTCTCTCTTGAGTCAGTGCTAAGCTGAGCAAGTGATCTAATGTTTTTTTGAAGGGAAAAACCACAGAATATCTTCTGAGGAGGAGGAACAAAGGATTAATTAGAAATAAGGAGGCCACGAGGATGGTGAAGGGCCTGGAGGGGAAGCCTTGGTCTGTTCAGCTGGAGAAGAGGAGGTTGAGGGGAGACTCTGGGCTCAACAACTTCCTTGTGAGGGGCAGAGGAGGGGCACTAATGTCTTTTTGTGGTGAGCAGTGACAGGACCTGAGGGAATGGCCTGAAGTTGTGTCAGGGAGGGATGGGGTGGATCTCAGGGAAAGGTTCTGCCCCAGAGGGTGCTGGCACTGCCCAGGCTCCCCAGGGAATGGGCACAGCCTGAGGCTGCCAGAGCTCCAGGAGAGCTCGGACAGCGCTGCCAGGGATGCCCAGGGTGGGGCTGTCGGGAGGTCTGGGCAGAGGCTGGACTGGATGATCCCTGTGGGTCCCTTCCAACTCAGCCTATTCTGTAATCATGTCATCTGATTCTGTAATCATCCATTACATGACTGATACAGCTTCAAATATTTTTGTTGGAAGAATATATTTTTTTCTTTGTAGAATATTTTACCTGTTTGTTTTTAGATCAGCAAGATTTCTGAGATGGAGGGAAAGTCTGACTTCAGAGTGGCCCTTTGCAATTTCACTGTGTAGGTGATGGAGATGTGGACAGAAATTCTACAACTATGAGAATCATTCAATATTAGTGTAAAGTTGCTAGTTCAATCCTGTAACTGTAGGTTTGATCCTAGAAAAAAAGAAAAGTTCTGAAATGGTGTTCTATTTTTGTCTTGTATTATTCTTTTATGTCTGATCCATCTCTTTTTAACTGGAATTTTTTTGAAACATGAAATTTCCCCTGGAAGATCTGGAAAAATTAGCCATATATTTTTCTGAAAGATTAGTACTTCAAAACCATAGTAAATTACTTCTTAAACAAAATTGCTTTTTAGCATCTTTTTAACAGTTCTGATTGGGAAGAATATTGCAGAACACAGTAAAGAGCAGCCTCACTAAGTTCAGTATGGCTCAGCTTTAGTTTTGCACAGCTTCCTTATTATGTGGTAAGCTTCCATTGTTTTATAATTCAGACTTATTCCTAAGCACGAGATGTTCAGGAAGCTTCTCTATGGCACCACAGACCCAGAGGTCATTCTGGTCCATTCTTATTTTGAATCAAGGTTGTTGGCCCATAAAATTGCATTAATAACTAACCTCAAATAGAAAGAAAACTGCTGTAATCCTTACTATAACAATTTACAGTATTTATTTGTATTTAGCAAGGATAATTTATTGTTTTCATGTGTTTCCATTTTCAGTGCTGTTTCCTTCCTGTTGAATCACCAGGTCCGGCTTAGCTGTGATTCATGAAACTCAGCACCTGAGGACATTTGCTGCAGAGACACTTGTATCTGCTTTTTGATAAATGTAACCAATAAATCCCTTCTGTATTTCAAAGGGACTCAGTTCTTCTGGGTGAACCATTGAAATGGGGAGCAAAGCAAGCAGGGGCTGTGTCTGTACTAACACAGGGAGACTGAGAACAAGTACCATGCCATCTTAGAGTGAAGGTTCTGTCTTGGAGAACCAAAAATGTGCCACTTTATGACATGGCATTGTAGCTTTATCCTTGCAGAGTTCAGTACTCTGGGCAAGCAAACAGCCCCTGCTTCTGGGAGGAGACCCAGAGGGGTACTGCCTGTGAGGACAGCACCTTGTCACTGAAAATCAGCTCTGCCACGGGATTCTTCCAGTCACAGATGGAGCAAGAGGCTTTTCATTTCCCTCCTTTGTCTAACTGTGCATAGAGCAGCAGGGCAGGTCTTTTGCTGAGAGGCTGAAGCTTTGCAGCACTGGGGGCCTGAAGGCATGCAGGGAACACTGCAGGGAATGCAGTCCCAGCTGCACCTGGCTCTTACACACGTGTGAGCCCACTTGCTGGCTTCGCTCAGACTCCTCTGGAGACACAAACCAAGGGCTTAGCTTGTCTTTACCAAGGAATTTGAATGTTGAATGTGTGTGAGGAGGTGTTTTGGTTGCACTGAGACTGAAGCAGGTCACATGCAAGGCATACTGCTCTTTTACCAAGTGATACCTGCAGGAAAAGCCTTCCTTTACCTGCATTCTAGAAAATCTGCAAACATTGTCCTGGCCCTCTCCGCGCCCTGTGGGTGATCACAGCACAGTTAAGTGTTGTTTGGTGCTGTGGGCTGCACATGTTGCTGCATGCCTGGAATCTCCCTGAAGCCACAAAGCCACATAACCAAGTTCTGCTATAATTTCTGTTGTACAGGTTGTCACTCTCCTGAGGTTAAGGCAACATCTCTTCTTTCATTGCAGTCTATATATTGCTGTGTAACACATGGTCTGATCTAAAAAAGTACCCACGTAGTACTGACTGCATCAGCTTCAGTACCTCTGGCAGTGGTCTTCAGCTTGCTCCCAGAAAACAAGGCTAATTTGCTTTTTTGTTTGTTTTTATTTTGTTTTATGGTTTTTCAGCATCAGTCAGGAGGCAGCAAGTGAATGTTTTTGGGGTTTTCATGATTACAGGTCATTTTTCCTGGTGAAGGCAAGATCACAGGCTGAGAAAAAGCTCTGATATTTGCTGCTGCCCTATGACAAATTACACTTAGTCAAATATTTAGGCTTGTGATGGATGACAAGATGTCTGGTGAAAATAGGTCAAGTTTGGTGTTTAAATGCCCTGGAAAAATTGGCAATACATACATGAATATCTACCCTAATTAAGAGGAGACTTTTAGGTCTGGACTGTGGCAAGTGGCCTTGGAGTTGATCATGTTTAGTGCTGCTGAAAGAGAGTAATTAGAGTGTGTCTTCTGCATTTGAACTAACCTGCAAAGCCAGACTTCTTTCACAGGATTTTCTGGCAAGCAGGAACACATTTGGGCAGTAAAAAAGTCTCTAAGAAGTATATTTAAAGAAATCAGCTAGAATAAGCTTACTTTTCATATATTTGTCTATTATTTTTGAAATCTAGAAGTGAGAGCAGCAGAAATGAAATTCCTAAGCTGTTCAGAGACAGGAGGATACAACCACGACTTTGTTTGTCATGGAGTTGGGCAGCTAAGTCTAACCTTGTTACCCTAAGTTGCATCTAATCCATGGAGAAATAGGCACCTCTGGGAGACAAGCAGTCAAATTCCAAGTCAGGTCACATGGATCATCATCAGGAAGCACTCATATATTCATCCCATTGGATTAACTAGCCCCAGGTTTGCCCTGCAGATGGTTTTTAATTTTCCTGTTTGCAGAGCAATTAAAAAAAAACCAAACAAATAAAAAAAAACCCAAACCAAAACCAGCTGATGTGAAAATGGGGAAGAAAAGATTCTTGGCAACAACAGATCATATGATAGTTAAATGTAAAAACATCTGTGTATGGGTATATGGATGGCCCTGGACAGTGGTATGTCAGAGGAAGGAGAAGCAAGGAAAGGAGAGTAAGCAGAGCTCACACAGTGACTTCACATCAGTCCTTAAAAAAAAATTCACAAGTAATGAAGGAACTTTCTGTATGTATGATGAGAGAAAGTGAATTTTATAAGTATATAAGTAATATAATATAAGTATTTTATAAGTATTTTTAAGTGTGCCTTCAGGAGTAAATTAATCACAACAACCTGTTGTTTGCTGGATTGTGTCAGTGTTTTTTTCCTCCCAACATTTTCTCAGTGCAAACTTTTCATCCTTTCCAGTCTCTCCTTTTCCCAGGGTAGAAGCATGCTGACTGTTTAAACTGATCCTATAGGGCAAGCTGGAAAACGTGCCAAAGGGCAGTAGAGGCAGGCACTGTTTTCTGCTCTCCTTCTGGAGGATGGGGTAACAGTGGGAAAGATGCACAGAAAATCTCAGTGCTGCTGTGGCTCTGCCCATATGATCACAGGAATCATTGGATGGGCCAAGTGATGTCTCACTCAATTAAGAGATGTGAATAACCCTTTTCCTCTGCTGGCTCCAGCGCAGAACATGGCAGTGGTTCCAAAGGAACAGACCCATCAACATCAACCACTATGCCAACAAGAAGAGTGCAGCTGAGAGCATGCTGGACATCGCCCTGCTGATGGCCAACGCCTCCCAGCTCAAAGCTGTCATGGAGCAAGGACCCTCCTTCTCCTTCTACATCCCACTGATCATTCTCATCAGCCTGTCGCTCACCCTGCAAGTTATGGTGGGAGTGCTCCTGATATTCCTTGGTAGGTGGCAACAGCAAGATCCACTGACTTGTATTTTTCTTACAGGACAGAGTCTGTAAGATGGTAAATAAACACACTCTTTGCTTTTAAAAAGACTTTGCCTCAGAACTGATTCAGGTTAGAATCATATAATCATTTAGGTTGGAAATGACCTCTAAGATCATCTAATCTAAAAATTAACCCAGCACATGTTCAGTACTAAGCCATGTACACAAACATTTGCACATCTTTTAAATATCTCCAGGGGCTTGACAACTGTAGTGGTTTAGATTCTCCAGTTTGAGTTTCCTGGCCAATGCACCGAATAATGTGGTGGGTTTAGCGCTGGCTAAAATCACCAGTGCACTTACTTATTTCTTGCTGTGAGATACGGATTAGGAGAAGGGCAAAACAGGCTTAAAACTTAAAAGGTATGAAGCTTATTAACAGAACTAAAAGAATAATAAGAAACAGAATAAAACCTTCAGAACACTTCCCTTCCCCCTGCCCAACTTCTTTCCCAGCTGAAAGCATAGAGAAAAAAGCTGGGATTTAAGATTAGTTACTACTTCTACAGTAGTCTTTCATCAGTTCTTACAGGGAGAGGAGTTTTCTTTCACCATGCCATGGAGACTTCTCCACAAGAAACAGTTCTCTCGTGGCTTTTCATTTCTATGAATAGCAGCTGCCTAGGAAAAATCTGCAATTGTGAATCTCCTCCCATTTTCACAGCCTTCTCACAGCTGGGTTAATGGGCCATGTAACTTACAGGGTATTATTTTAATAATACTCCATAATACCTGTTCAAAGGCAAAGGTTCTCCTCATCTATCTCTATGATCTTCTTCATCTCTTGGAACAGAGGTTTTCTTCTTCTCTCCCTGGGAGCAAAGGGTCTTCATCACTCTCATCTCTCTCTGTTCAAGCTTCTCATGGGATCACAGCTCCTTCAACATCTGCTTTGCTTAATTTTGGATGCCTCTGCTGAAGTCTACAGTTTGAACACTCCATCCCCCCATACTTTCTCATGAATTAAAGGGGATATTTTAGTACATCATAGTCCATCTCCATGGCCTTGCCAAAACAACTTTCAGCCCCATTATTAGGGCATCTTCTCATTCTCCTTACATTTGGGACTTGACTCCTTTACTGACCTTGGTGTCTTCATGCTGTCTTTCTACGTCTCATCATTCTGTCCTTTTCTGTCCCTGGAGAGAGGATCAAGGTCTCATCTGTGTAGTGAAAGGCTTCATATCTTGTCTGGTCCTGCAGACGGTCCCAGGCAGTGGCCGAAGCGGTCACTGTGATGGATTTCAGGCCGTGCTGGCCCCTCCTGTGCCCGGCAGCCTCTGTGGCCTTGCGGGCCGCGGCAGAGCCGCTCCCGGGGCCCAGCAGAGCCCGGCTCGCTGCGGGCTGAAGGCAGGGACAGGGCTCGGTGTCAGATATCAGCAGCCG